TTATATTGTAAGCATATACCTTATGAGTTCCTTGTCTTACAAGTGGCCGTCTAGTAAAGCAACTACATGCATAGAATCGATGAGGCTGGAAGGAGGTTTCCAGCCCAACCCTTGTTGGGTAACTTCAGTGTTAGGTTAGGTTGCTCAGGGCACTGTCAGGCCAGGTGTTGAGTGTGTGCAAGCGGATCACACGTCCTCCCTGGGCATGCCACTCTCTTACCATCCTCACTGAGAAATTTTTTTTCCCGTTCCCTAACATCTAATCTGAACTTGCCTTGTTACATCTCGAGTCTGTTGCTCTGGTCCTTTCAGCAAGCAATGTTACTGTTGGCACAAGAAGACTTGTGTAACTGGCAAACAAAGCTGTAAATCAATCTAGAAAACAAAGTGTGGTGGGATTACAAAAAGAACTGTGTGAAGTGTCCGTACGCTCAGAGGGACCTTTGGTATGGCAGAGTTCAGTTGCATAGAACTTTACTGGAACAGTGATGATGTTACTTGGTTGCATACAAACCTTGGTGTTTTAAGTCTTACAGAAAGCAAATGTTGTCAGTTTCCCCCCAAAAGTCATTCCATGAACCTTTTTTGCTCCTAACATGCTCGAGAGCTGTGCCTCATCACTAGTTATGACCTTTTTTAGGTTTGTATGCATTTTTCCCTGCTCTTGTTCATAAACACCCTTGTCCATTGTACTTTGGTATTGAAGTATTTAAGATGATTGAGGCTAGAAAAGGGATAGTTTTAAATCTTTAGCTATATGAAAAGATATGAGGAAAGGAACTTGAAGCTGCAGGGAGGGAGGGTAGGTAGCTAACTAAAACCCTAGCAGAAAGCTCTCAACAGTGTTGTTTCTGTCTGTGGACCTGCAGCATGTGCTACGCTGAGCTATGTGCTGCACACTGCGTGGCAGGTTCAGACTTGCATTTTGGAAGCAGTGCTACTGAAGCCTGACTTCTGCCTAAAGTTTTTCCTCTGTGAGCACAAAGAACTTGGGAATCAGGTGTGAGGTACTGCAGTACGCCTCCTGAGGCTGCCCAAATTTTCAGCAAAAGTTAGCTAATGATAAACAAGCCATCTCTGGCTTCTGGCGTTAATATGGCTTGTCAGCTGGAGTAGGAAATTATTTTTTGCAAGTGGGAAACAGTAGCTCTGTTTGTGTGCGGAGCAGCAAAGGGAGGACTGGCAGGGAAATGACAGGAGATTGCATGCTGCTGTGGAGGAGAAAGCAAGTGTAATTGTGAGCCTTGCACAGGTCAGTTTATATTGCCCAATGTGTTGGTAAAGCTTTTTTTAAAATAGGACTTTCAGAGCATCCAGATAAAAATTGGATGGCAAAATAGCAATAAAAATTTGTGAACCTAACACCACCACCATTAGAAAAATTTTAGGCTAATGGTTTTATTGCATAAAAATCTTTCATTTTTTTGATCTTGGTGTTCACCTCTAGTTCATGTCTGGGGAAGATCTAGAAGAAGTAAAAGCTGATATTTTTGTTCAGCTGTTACTGTGAAGTATTGTTATAGTGAAGATGGTTAAAAATGCTCTGTGTCCGTTTGACTGAATTTGATCCTGAACCAAAGGAAGGTGGAAGGGGGAATGCTTGTAGTGCTGCGCCGCACCTTGAGGTTGTACGGTCATGCGTTTCTGCATTAAATGCGAGGCCGGGGCCGTGTAGTGCAAGACAGCAGGCACAGCTTCTGTAAGAAGCTTCTGTGGGAGCACAGCTGGAGAGTGACAGTCATCTGATAATTGTCTTTAAAGCTTCATATCAGCTTTCAAGACTAACCTGAAAAGAAAACTGTTCTGAATTTGTTGTAGCTGGTGATACGCCTTTCCTGTTCATTGTGCTCTCCAACTTCTGATACTCCTCAGGAAGACTTCTGCTGTGTATCCTCTTCTCTCCCCAACCTGTGTGACTGTGTTCATTCATCAGGCTGAAATCGAGGAGGCAGTCCTGGTGTCTGCAGAGACCTGTGTGCCCTCGAGGCCCTTAATTAACACCAGGCATCAGGAAAACTCTGCAAACCACCTTAAAGGAAGGTATAGGCTTATATTACCAAAAGAGTGTTCTGAGCACTCGTTAGTGGAATTTGTTCTGCAGTGAAACTTTATCACCGTGGTAATGTGTCTCCAGTAAGACTTTCTGATTCTGCTGGGTTTGTCCATTGTGTTTAACTGTAAACATTGTACTTATAGTCCTTGTGTGTTTAATTGCCTGGTTTCGTTTTTAATAACTTGTGTAAAAATCCAATGTTGGGCACAGGTGACAAGGAGAGTTTTGTAAACTTCTCAGAGCAACAAATAATTTTCATCTCTTCTGATCCTCTGTGGTGGTGGTATCCTCCTGCCTTTTAGAAATAGTGAGTTTATTAAATTTTTGATTAAAAGTCACTTTCTTCTAAGTTACCTGTGTTTTCACTGACTGTTTACTCTAAGCCTGAAGCAATGGCTTCCATCCTGGCAACCCCCACACCTCTTCTTCCTCCCCAAATTGTTTTGTCTTTGCTTGCTCCAATAAGATCATCTTGAGACTTCAGCTTTACCTTTTTTTTTTTAATTCCCTTGTGGGTTTTGCAGTGTGCTTGATGCAAAACGGATCAGACCGCTGTAAAATATCAGAATTGCTCTCCTCTGGAGCAGTTTCCACAAGTTACAGGTTTTGATGATAACTTAATGTAGAGCTTGATCTTTGATCTTGCCTGTTTGAGACCTGCTGCCTTTGCTGAGACGTGAGTTAAGTGGTAGTAGTTGGTTCAATATCGAAGCTAGCTTGCAGCCTACTAATATATTCATAATATCACTCTTGTGGCCCTTAATTGTTTAAAAATTACATAGCATTTGAAGTATAATCTATGTTGCTCAGACAACAGAAAACAAGTAGCAATTTCCTTAATATATACACTCCCTGTAATATCCCTGGGGTTCTGTACTGTCTGGTTTTGCCCTTGGATTGCAACAAGGTGGTCACAATGCTTTTTGGGGGGCCATTTTTACTTGACTCATGTGTGCCAGTGACGTGACTCACATAGCTGCTTCACGCCTGGTGATGTCTGTAGAAAGAGGAATTTTAGGGATACTGTTGCTGATGGTAGCTGTGCTTTGTCTGTGTCTCTGCTGAGCACCCTTGAGTATTCATCCATGGAGGTGGAGACAGAGGGGGCAGGAGGTATGGAAAACAGGGCTGGAGCTCTTGAGAGTTGTGTTGTTCCTGGAATTTGCTGCCCAGGGTTTACAAGAACAGAGTCATTGTCATTAAATAGACTGACTTATTTCCTGCAATGCCCTTTATGTTGAAACGGGGGCTTTTATTTTTTTTATGGGGTATTCTGGAAATTCTGGAAAATGGTTTTAATTGGCTTTCTTTTGTGGTTTAGCTGCACTTCTAAACAGCATTGATCTGGTAATAATTGTTATTGGCTTTTATGTGTCGCCCAAGAGTTCTCCATTTCACAGGGTCTAATACATACAATAACAGACTGAGTACGTTCTGCCAGAATTTGCAGAGCATTTGAATGCTTTTGTTGCTCCTTGTCATAGTCAGTGGACTTGGAAATCCAGCAACAGCGTGGAAATGGGACCATATTTTCCCTGTTTATCTGAGAACAAGTACAGTTGGAGCATCTGGAACAGATAGCACAAAGGTTCATTGCCAGTTATGCATTAAAGCTCTTTGGGGTTTTTTTTATTTTGCAGGAGCTGAAGGCTCTGGTGGCCCAGCACAATGTCAGTGCTTCTCAGCAACCTAGCAGCTCCCGCACCTGCCTCCCTGGCAGCCTCCCATCCAGCCAAAGCCAGCGCAAGTACCACCTGGAAAAGGTTTTTGTGGTGTCTCAGACTGGGAACTGCAGAGTAATGGCGTACTGCGACTCGATGAGTTGTCTCGTGGTATCACAGCCTTCTCCACAGTCTACTTTTATTCCTGGTAATTAAGCAAGTCAAGATTTGGGGGGTCATAGGTGGAAGTTAAATGTGTTTTCTGCTTGCTTCTCTGCTTGACCTTTGCATGTGCCTCATAAACTGGGAATGCTTGTAAGGCTTCCCGTAGTTCATCTGGCCCCTGCATTGGTAGCTTCCACCTAGCGAGGCAGCTTGTTTCCCCCGTCACTTCTCTGGCAGAATCCTAGCAGAGGGCTTCTGGCTCTTCTGCTGAAGTGTCACATCCACAGGAAGGTAAAAGGTGTATCTGGTACTCTTTGCAAAGGTGGGTCTGTGAAAGAACAAGGGGCCAGCGCGCTAGGGCCTGCAGAGAAGCTTCCAGTGCTTGAATGAGAAATGTTGTTCCCTGAATTGTAGGTGGATTGATCCATATACAACTGATTAGTCAATACTCTTTAAAAAAAAAAAAAAAAAAAAAGACAAGAAACTTTTAATATGAATGATAGGGGCACTGTTTCCCAGTGAGGAAATAGGAAGCCAAGAAGTCATGGGGAAGCTCTGGTTTTCGTCTCGCTGTTATGGCCAGGGGCAAGTAACCTGACATCTGGACCAGTGCCAACTTGCTTTTCAATGAAATAGATGTAGCATTAGGAGTCTGAGAGTTCATTTGCAAAGCACTTCAATGCTTTCTGAATGATGAAACTTACTTTATTTGGTTAATGATGTTGAGATTAATACGCCTTATCGAGGCATTATGGAATTGTTTTCTGCATTTAGCTGATCTTGTTTTTCTGCTGTTTGGAGCTGGGGAAGGAATCTCTGAATGGAGGCTTTGTGGTGATTCTTGTAGCACACAGGTTAAGTTCACCTGTAACCATTCTTTGCAGTGACACTTGTTCTCTTAAATAGCCATGTAATCCTACTGCGTGTGTCTTTTATCTAGGCGAGGATGCCTTTTGAAGAAACTGGCTGAAGAGCAGCAGGCTCTTGTAACAGGAATAGTAACACTGATACTGAGTTTGCTCTTGCTGGCTGGGATCCTTAAGGATTTAGCCCTGTTGCCATTTGAACTGAAGCACCACTTGTGGCAGTTCTTATCCAGAACAGCAAATAACTTTTACGTGTTCATCCCACCACAGGCTTCAGTACAGACATTGTAGTTCTGACATAGAATTGCTAAATCTACATGTGTGCTGCTTTGTGATAACTTGCTTTCTCCTTCTGTGACAGGTTGTGGTGTTAAGATGATGAGCGTGGCCAACCTGAAGAGCAGTCAGTACATCCCCATCCACAGTAAACAGATTCGGGGACTGGCTTTTGGCAGTCGAGCAGACGGTTTGCTGCTCTCTGCCGCTCTGGACAACACTCTCAAACTTACCAGGTGAGCCCTGCTGGGAGGAGCAGCCTGTCCCAGCGGAGTTTTGCTATGTGCAAGAGACTGGGCTGGATTTTGTTCTGTCTCGCCTGAAATGTCTTGCAGCACTTGCTATTCCGCTTTCCCAAAGATGCTGCTAAGATGAGATCAAGTCTGCATGTTGTTCCTGCATGTGGGAACTAACAGAGGGAAAGACTTGCTTGTGCTTTTGGATCTTTTAGGTGGAGATGTTATGGGGCTACCTGTCTATGATACTTTTCCCATGGAGAACTCAGTGGAAAACAAGTAATTCACCACGGATTGGCCAAGTTGTGTTGAGAGCTAATGTATAGATGTGAAATTTACTGTCCACTTGGTCTTCTGTTACTGCAGGGAAATGCAAAGCATGGGAACTTGTATGGCATAAACAGAAAACAGGGGTGTCTAGGTTGGGAGCTTTCTTCCCTGCCCTAATGTTGACTTCTCTGATTTTAAACTTCTTGCGGAGCATGGAATTCATCTGGGATATGAGATGTGTAGACAGCATTGTTGAGCACGTGGTAGAGGAACACAGGTTCTCTAGAGCTAGTGGAGACTTAAAGCAGCAGCTTGGAGACTAATTATGCAGAGGCTGAAAGAAAAATGTGTCCAGTCCTGTTAGAATTTACAGCCTATGAGTGTGTTTTCTTGCTACTCTGCTGCTCTTCAGACTTAAGCTGCTTCAAAACTTTCATGGCTGATTCTTAGTGAGCTGTATTAACATCTCTGTGCACATCTGTCAGTCAGTGTAGGGTTAGGCAGGATGTCTGCTGTATGACTGATTAGCCCCAATTCTTTCCCACAAGTGAAGCAATGAAGAGAATTTAATCCTGCAACAAAAACGTAAAGAATGTTGCTTTCCTGTTACTGTGTTGAATGTTTGCTAGGCTAGTCAAAAGTAAACAGAACTCTTTGTCTGCTGCTAAAGTCAGCCAATCAGGTTGATATTCTTTTCATGGTTTAATGTGGAGAGCCACTTCTCATCACAGTTCTGCTCAGGCGTTTGACTCCTGTATCTGCCTCTCTCTGCCTGTATGGCTGTATTGGAACTTGTGGTCCCCTTGCCTTTGTGCTTGATCCCAGAATGTCTTGGAGTTGAATGCATGCTTCAGCAGCATCTTCATGCTTCTTCCAGTCTCCCTCTGAAAAGAGAGAATCCCCCTTTGGTTATCTCTGCTACTGATTTCATAGTCCTACCAAAAGGAATTATGCAAGGTGTCCTTAAGTCTCCTGTTCTGGCTTGCAAGTGTTTAAAATAGCACTATGTTGTTTTGAACCAGTCACTGTGCTGATATCAAACTCCCTGTTTTCCCCAGCCAGGTTTGCCTTTGTGGTTGTTCCCCTTGTACTTACTTGGGGGCAATTACTTGCTTCTCTGAGCATAATCACCTTCCCCAGGGAGAAACCCACGTGTAGTAAAGGATATCCAGAGTTCCTTTGATACGTGCTTGATAGTCTTCCGTCTATCAATGTGCTGAGCGTGTGTTGACAATGCTGCCCTTTGCAAATACATTCTAACCTGACACCAACTTCATCTATTCTGGGTCGCACCCCTCGGTGTACTCCCCTCTTCTCCCTTCCACAAATTGAGTTGCTAAAGAATTAACACTATAAATATGCTTTTAACTGCCTCTACCCCACTCGCTGTCTCACTCTTGCTTAAATTGGATTCTTTTGGGGTGTAGGCACTGTTCCTCTTGTGTAAAAAGAGGGAAGTAATTAATGAGATATGTAATCTGAAGCGATGAGCCCTGTGATCTCAGGAATATGCAATATTATGGAATTACCCTAGAGTCTTTTCTCCTAATTGTTTCCAGAAAAGTAAATTAGCTTTCTCTTTCCAGTAAGGCAGCTGAGACCCTGCTCTGAGATTTCCTTTTCTAGTGTCCAGAGATCAATCTGGAAAACGAAGCATTGGACTGGAAGAATTATAAATCACTTGACAATATCCAAGTGATTATTCTGTCTGCATTTTCCAGATTCATGTCTGGAGTAGAGGAAGAGTTAATTCAGAATTCAGTCTAAAGAGAGATGCTTCTGTCTGAAGGCTTTAAAAAGACACACTTGCTTACCTTAATTATGCTATTTTCTCATCAGTAGATGCTTGTGCAACGGGCCAACACTTTGCTTTTCTTCTGCAGCTTGGCAACAAATACTGTGGTGCAAACATACAATGCTGGCCGTCCTGTCTGGAGCTGCTGCTGGTGTCTTGATGATACAAACTACATCTACGCTGGATTAGTCAATGGCTCTATCATGATATATGACTTGAGAGACACAAACTCTCATGTCCAGGAACTAGTCCCTCAGAAGTCCAGGTATGGCATAAGGATTTTTTATTCCTCTCAGTTTCACTAATACACATAAACATAGTGGCTTCCATAAATCACACAGCACTTGTAATAGTTTAAATTGGTTTATGTGAATCTCTTGTTCTAAAATTAAAATTTAGCACAGATGTGAGAAGTCTCTCGTAAGGTTGCATGGTACACGTAGAACTTGGTACGATTGCCTGGCCCCTGCATCTTAAGGCACACAGCGGTCAGAAATGGACCCGCTGGTGCAGCTGAAGCAGGAGAACTGAATTTGTTTTGGAGCTGGGTTTAGTATTTAATTTGGAAAGGACAAATTAGAGGTGTGAGATGCCGGTACTTCCATCTCTTCTACTCAGGGAATCAAATTTACACACATCTGATGCGTGCTGTCTGATGCGTCTTTAAAACATAAGGCTCAGTAGTTAAGTTGAATTTCACTTATTCTTGACAAACCCAGTGGGGTTCCTTGCTTGAAGGGCCCTTTTGCAGCTTGCTTAGGCCTTTTCTTTGCAGTGTGGCTGAGAAACAGGAGCTCTGGAGTGGTGAGGCAGAACACCAGCAATGGCTGCAGCTGGCAGCACTGACTCTTGCCAATCACACTTCCAGGTGCCCCATGGTATCGCTGTCCTACCTGCCCCGGATGGCCTCTGCGTCACTGCCTTATGGTGGAATATTGGCTGGGACCTTGGAAGGAGCATGCTTTTGGGAACAGAAGGCTGGCAACTCCTACCGGCCTCATCACCTGCCACTGGAACCCGGAGGATGCATCGATATTCAGGCAGAGATCCGCACACGGCACTGCCTCGCAACATACAGGCCTAGTACGTAACGGTGTGCATCCGCTCTGCGCTTTTTGTGGCCGCACTGCCCTGCTGTTTGTTGAGTTTGGTGCTGAGGGCACAGCAGAAATGTAGTACCTGCCCTGCCAGCGCAGTGAGCAATCACACAGAGATAAGAACTGGGTGGGGGCAAAAGGAGGCAGCTCCAGGGTGGTGTTGCTTGTATTCTGACAGTTCAAACTTGTCTGCAACTACATTTCCCAAAGGTTACCTTTTTTATTTCTGCCATGCAGGTAAAAATAACCCATGTGTGCGTTGTGTGATGATGGAACTGACTTGCAGCCCACTGACAGAGGCCTCTGAAGATGTGGTGTGTTCTTCTAACGCAGTTCAGACTTTCAGTGCTGGGCCCACCTGCAAGTTGCTGACCAAGAATGCCATTTTTCAGAGCCCGGAGGAGGACGGCAGCGTCTTTGTGTGTGCTGGGGATGAAGCATCTAATTCTGCCCTGGTATCTCTCATACCTTTCAGCATGGTGGAGGGTTTTATTGCAATTCTGGAGAGAAGCCTTGTCAGTCACAGCATCAGTGTGTTTTGGTGGGAATTGTCTTGTCATGCACGTTACCTTGTGCAGGTCGATCTGTTGTACTTGCTAAAGCAGTTGTAACTTTCTGATAGGCTGGGCTACTCGGTGTTAGCCAAGCCCTGTGGTCCACATCCACGGAAAGGAACGTAGGCAGTGAGCCCCTGTTGTCCACCGGAGGAATGCAATTGGGCACTCTGGCACAACTGGGCATTGTTAAGTGGTGTCACAGACTTGGTGATATAGCTAACATGGTAATTGCTGTGAGGGACGGACGCAGGATCTTTAGGAATGATAGGGAAGAGTAGGAGAAGGGTTGCCGTTTATATGAAAAAGCAGCTTGGATGCAGAGGATGGACAACAGGCTGCATGAGAGCTCATGAGTCAGAGGAGAGGGCAGTCAGGGTGGCATTGTGCTTGAAGTCTGTTAAAGACCATCCGAGCAGCATGTGAAAGTAGAGAAAGGGTCCTGTAAGTGACTCGAGAAAAATCTTTTCTCTAGAGAGAGGAAGCTCTGTTTTGGGTGGGAGGGGGAATCCTGCAGTCTTTGACCTTGTCTGTCCCACAGCTCTGGGATGCTGGCAGTGGCTCCTTGCTGCAGAAGCTGCAGGCTGACCTGCCTGTGCTGGATATCTGCCCCTTGGAAGTGAACCAAACCCACCTCCTGGCCACTCTGACTGAGAAGATGGTGAAGATCTACAAGTGGCAGTGAGAGTGGTCCCCACACCTGCCACAGAGAGGCTTTCCAAATATGCTGCTGATCACCCCTTCACAACCACTACGTCCCAGGCTCTGCTGTCCTGTACATGCTGCTTACAGGAGACAGGAACTGCTGCAGAACTCTTCTGGCAGGAACTGGGATGTGCTGGTACCTGGAGCAATTCCCTCCTTCCTTTTTAGGTCTGCCCTTACTTCTTCTTTGGTCAGCTTTCTTCAGTCAAACTCCACAAGCTGCCTGAGCACAGCAATAATTCTTGGACTGTCTCCAGCGTGTGTTTCTGCACTTCTTTCCAGTGTGACTACAGCACAGGGACTTGCAAATCTCTTTTACAAATCAGCCAAATAAGAGGAACTTGAGACTCCCATGGCAATTTCTGGTGGAGTCCTGCTGTGATTACTGGGTGATGAAAAGGTGGCAATGTTGGTATTTCACTTGCTTGGCTGATACTCTGTGTAAAAGCAAGTTCACTGCTTTAGGGAACACACTCCCATGTTCTCTTGAAGGTCTAGGGTCAGTCGGCAGTTATTCCCTGGTGGACAGACTCTGTTTGTGGCCATGGAGAGAACAGGCTTGGCAAACTTACAGAGAACCTTTTTCTTTTGTGTGGGTTTTTTTTTTTTCCCATGAGCATATAATTTGCACTCTAATTCCTTATTCTTTGCCCCCATTTCCTTCCCCTTCTCTCTTCCCTGTTTCACCCGCATGCAAACTTGGACAGTTTGGTTGTGGAAAATGAAACTGGAGAAGTACAGGTAAAGAGGAGGAGATGATTCTTGTACTGTTGACTGCTGCAGTCCATGGTGTCCTTCCTTAAAGGCAGGAACAGACAGTACCTTGGAAAAGAATGCTGGCTGCTTTTTTTTTGGGAGGGGGTGGGTCTTCCCCTTTGAGGAACCGGTGAAAACTCAGGGATTTCATCAGCGTGCTTTCACTGACCTTTGCCTTCTTTAAATCGAAGTTGCCAGCTAACCAGCTGGTCACAGACAGCTTCCAGTTGTATTTGTGTGCAAATGTGCTGCAGGCTCGCTGGTTTAGGTAAATCTGAGTCGATGGGGTGGGATCACAGGTCAGGGGATGGCTGCTCGCCAGGTACAGTGGGCTGTTAGCACCCTTACCATAAATGTGCTGAGGGGGGTGAGAACGTTTACCTCCAGGCCAGATCATGAAAGAAGACTTGGGTTTCATTTTATGTTTAATGACAGCAAACTTGCAAGGATGTTGAAAGCTGCAAGACAAGTTTCCCTGTGCTGGAAATGTATCCCTTGGCACACCTCTGCCTCTGCCTGTGGCAAGCAGCATCCATCCTGTTCGGATCGAGTGTGCAACCACTTAAACTGCCAGAACAGTTTTATTTTCTGAAGTCTGGGGCTTGCACACCTGTGCAAGCCTGTTTGTCTTTCCCCTTAAAAATGAGATTGTGAAGATCTCTGCTTAACTTTATATTTTTCTGTATAGATTTGTTCCTATATTTTTATATACTGTAAAAATAAAGGGTTTCTAGTTATCAAATATAACTGGTGCTGCTGTACTTTAAAAATACATCTCAGTGATATACACTGCGTATCTTGTGAACATGCCTTGCATATGGAGATGCTTGTTTAAGGTTTGTCATGCTTTGCAGTATTTCCAAGTCACCCTTGCCTTCAGACAAGCAGTGGAGGCTTGTAGTGAATGAAGAGTCCTTGCTGAGCCATGCTGCTCTGACAGGTGAGCTGAAAGGAAAGGGTTGAGCAAAGTCAGGCCATGCACCTGGGCCGTCCTTTTAACTGGAAATAAACTCACTGATGTGAGACTTTTTGGCATTTTAGCGATCAGAAACAAAGGGTTAGTAAAAAGAATAACTGAGAAGGTCTCTGGTGATGCCAGCTAAAATGAGAAGGAGCAGGCAGTGCTCTGCCAGCGTAGTGCAATGAGCTGCTTTTGTCAACCAGTTTGAGGCATCTGCTCAGCCAGCTCCAACCCCTTCTTCCCACAAGACATTTGGAAAATTTTAAACATGCACAAGAAAAGGAATGCAAAGGCCTCTCAGCTTTTGATTTTTGAGGTAGCACATGTTTTCTACTTTATACCACCCTACAGGAATAAGAGGTACAAACTTAAATGCTATTAAAATAATTAATGGAAGATGCCCCTATCATGGGGGTTTTTTTAAATCCAGAATTTCAGAAAATTTCCAAATATTTGAGATGTGAAGAACTGTGTAACACTGTCCTAGTCATAGATTTGCAGCAGGCTCTGGGAAAGAGCACCTAAATTGTGTGCAGAAAGCCATCAGCATCAAGGGCTGATAAAAGGTCAAAGGTGTTAATTAAATATTTGCTCATCTCTGGAGTCAAAGGGGCAGATTCTGGGATGGAAGGAAAGAAAAAAAAATTGTTTCTCTGCACGATGCAGGGCAGCCGTCGTTAGAGGCTGAGCTGTCTCACTGGTGTTATAGGCAATAAGCCACTGTGGCTATTTCTGCCTCTGTCTCCAGGAAGATTTTGTTATCATGAAGCAGGGCAGCCCCTTGGCAATTCCTGTAGTAAATCTGATGAGGTGATAGGTAAAGCTGAGCAGTGCTGTGGCTCCTGCAGACGGGGCCTTGCTCTTACCTGTGCATAGGCATTTTGTAGGTGTCTTTATTTATTTTTTTTTTCTCCAGGCTGTTGGAGGGCAGCATCTTTCCTAATGTGAATTCTTGCAAAACCAGGCCTGAGGGACAGCACTGGCCAGAGCTGGCTGTGGTGGCACCTTAGCAGGAAACGCGGGCTGCGCTGCCGCTGAGCACAATCCAGCTGGTTCCTTGTGGAGGTGCGGTGTCAGGGGCAGCTGGTGTGGAAGGGGACGCTGGAGTCAGAGGGAGCCATGCTTTCTGGAGAAGGGCTGTCCTCCACCTGTGCCTCTAAGAAGAGTGAGACAGTGTCAGGCTGTGGTGAGCTGCAGAGTGAGTAGAAGCCTGGGCAGGGGAGGGTCAGGAGGCAGCCAGCTCCCTGCCTGTGCCTGCCCTCTGCACCACGGGAGCTTCACTGCCGCAGCATTGACCCTTGCGTTTGAGCTGTGAGTGTGTAGTGACTTGGGGGTGAGATCGCAACAAATTCAATCAAAAATGTTGCATGTGACAAAAGGTAGTACTAAAAAAAGGGTGAGCAAAGAATTGAGTGTGGCCTGGTGTGTGCACACAAGGCAGGACCTGCCAGGGCTTTGCTTGGCTCTGGCTGTGCCTGCTGCTTCCTGGAGGGTGGAAAAGCAGCTACTTTATGTGTCCCCAACCAAATTGGATTAAAACCAGGCAATGCAGCAAGTGAAACAAGCAACTTAATCTGAACCTTGTTACACTGAGGTAGCCAGAGCATCCCAGTGGCATTTCATTTAGTTCTCCTTGGTTTGCAAGCGGATGTGGCAAGATTTTCTGCTAATGTAGATGAGCAGATTTTCTACCAAGGCAGTACATTTCTCAACAGACCTGGCTTTCTGACTATTTGTGAAGGAGAGAATATGAGGAAAAGGAGTTGAGGGAGAAGGAAGAGGAAAGGGAGGGAACAAAGAAATGAGCAAGCAAAACCTACTTTTCTGTTGGGTTTGATTTGCATCGAATAACAGAACAAGTAAAGGTGAAAGAACAGATTTCACTGCTGAGAGGGGACATGGTCTTCCCTTCTGGAATGGCACTTCCGACTTTCTATTAGCGAAGCTGCAGATAAGGCTTTTCCCAGCTAAAATGTGCATTAGTGCTCAGACACCCTTTCAGCCTAGCTGCGTCCCTAATCCTTGCCAAGGTGCCTGTGCAATCGTGCAGAGGGTGTTGGTTGCAACACCTTGGCAACGGGCCTGCCCCTCCGCAGAGCTGCTGTCATCCCCTACGAGCACTCTCAGCTCGCAAAGTCAAGCATGTTTGTGTAAACAGCCTCCCTGATGTCAGATAATAGTAGTTATCATTCTTTACTTGCTTTTGAGATAAAGATATTTAGAGACACAGCTGAGAAGACAGAAACTCCTCGTGCTCACATCACTTCTAAAGAAGATGCTGCGGGTGCCCTGGCCTTATGGAGCACGGGGTGGGTGCCCATAGGAAACTCCTGCTCCCATACAGGGGAGTTCATTGATAAGAGTCTTGGAGCCACAGCAGCATTTCAAGAACACCAAGGACATGCAGGATGTTGCTCTGATCCTGTCTCCTGCAAAATAGTGCCTCTAAGTAGCAAAAAAAAAAAAAGAGGAGTTTGGGGAACTACGCCCTAAAAATGCTTATCTAATCCTTGGGACAAACTTAGCAGGTAACAGGCAATATCCAGCCTGTGCTGGTCAAGAGAAAAAAATGCCTCCAAGTAATTTCAGTGATTATCCCACTCTGTGAAGCGTAATTAACTCGAGGGTCCAGGGGGTTTAGTCTTGCATCAAGTCCAATTTGGTGTTTCTGCTAGCGGCAGAGGTGGTAGAAGGGGGAGCGAGCCCCCCATGCTTCTGACGGTGTCAAGCTGGGAGCAGCACTTGAGTGCTTGGGAAGGTAGAAGTGGGATTGGGGAAGAATCATGGCAGGTTGGAGGAAGGAAATTGCCCTTTTTTTTTTTTTTTTTTAAAGGTAGGTGTTAACTGCATCACAGAGCTGCATAAATAGGGTGGGAGTAAGAGGCTCTGCACGAGTGACCTGGGGCTTCCGATGCGTCAAGAAGCAAAGATGTGTCAACAGTATCGCTCTTGTGCAAAACACAAATGTCACATCAGGCTGGATGAAGAGTTGTGCCGAAGATGCACGAAGCTCCCCTTGAGCTTGACACTCATGAGGTTACAGCTGGAATATTGTCTCCCGTTTGTTCACAGCTTCCTTGGAAGCTAAATACTGCCATGGCCCTCTGATTATTTCCTAACATGGATGAGGAATGGCGCTGTGGGACCCACCTACAAGAAAAGCTGAAACAAAGCGGGGCTGAACCTGTGCATATCATGCAAATAAAACACTAAATACCAGACTCATGTTGCTGCCTTAGCCAGCAATTTAAAAAGTGCTGAATGGTAGCAGTAAAAAAGCACCTGACTAGGTTCTCTGCAACAGCATTTGTTGGTGGAGATGATCC